TGGGCCCTTTTCACGTGGACGTACACATATAATTGGACTGAAATTTATAGAAATTTTTAATTTGCAATGACGAAATTCCTTGAAATTTCCGTATTACGGCAACGCGATAAAAATTCCCAATAAGTGTTCCCGGAATTTCCGCGAAAATATTACTGAAACCTACAGACATCATTCCTGAATTCAAGACTTTCCTTTGATTTTCAGGATCATGTCACTGGAAATTTTTTACAAAATGACTTAATTTTAACATTGCTTGCTCATTGCATTTCAGAAATACAGCTGCCTAAAAAAGACACATTGATTCCTAGGAACGTTTTTTTTTTATCGGTAAATAAAGACAATAGAGAAATGTCAGAGTGCAATTCCCTGATTTTTTTTCACTCTCGATTCATTTTTTAAAGATTCAAATTGATACTTGATTCATTCACATCGTTCCACTCCATCGGGAGATATTGTCGATTGGAGACAATTTTTTATGGTCACTGAAGGAGGCTGAAGGAACCATCCATCTAAATCTCGCAATAATCTGCGAAATAGTATATTTCGATACAAGTGCGACGGGGTGGTAACGAGTGTGAAGTTGGCGGCCCGAGGCGAAGCCGAGGGCTGACAATCACACAAGTTAAAACACCCTGTCGCACGTGGCAAACTTATGATGGAATTGACGTGAAAAAAATATAATGTTTTTGGGTTTTGTCATTATTTAATGACTGACGAAATTTTAAGGTGGTGCGAACATTTTCCTGCGTTTTCTCTAAACTTTTAAAAAGAATCACAAAACTGTGGAAAAAACGCATGAAAATTATCGCACCACTACGCAACTTCGTGAGCCATTAAAGAATGACAAACCACAAAATCGTTATATTTTTTTACGTCACTCTCATCGATAATTTGCCAGAAAAATGAAAACAACGTCAATTTTGGCTAAAAGGGTGTCGAACATCCTTAACATCTCTTATTTTTCTCTCTATTCAAATGGGACGAATTATTTCGGTGTCTTACGCGTGACTTTCACGACTTAATCAATGCAAAAAAATATCTTTAGATGCCCAGTATGTCACGTGAGACTTTGGTGTACTAGGGAAAAATACAGAAAAAGTGTTCAATTATTAAAAAAAAAAAATGAAAAGTGTAAAATTGCGTCGTAGCAAAAAAGGAGAGGAAATCACAATAGGAATAGATTCAAATATTAAAAACAACAATTCTCAGGATGGATGACAACGAACAGAAGGAGGGGGAGAATCGGGGAGTCCTAAAAGTGCAATTCCAAGACGATCAATTCGTTCTATGATAAATTTACCTTCAGTATCCCCAAATGAATCTCCACTTGAGATTTTCTCAGCACTCACGAGGAAAATTTCTCACAGTTACGAAGCTACCACCTACGAGTGCAAACATTCATTATCATATTTTACGCGCTTTATACCAGACGTACCTGAAGCGGAATTTTTTCCATGAATACGGTCTGATTGAACTAGATGCAGAGAGATTTGGATACAAGGTTGATGTTGATGACCAATTGATTCCTAGACGGATGACCGAAATTTCTCCCCCAAGTGATAGTTTAGTTCCCAGTTATGCCAATTGTACAAATTGTTCACGTGATACATGTATATGTATTAAATATGAAGTTCCATGTTGCGCATATTGTTCTTGCCAACGGCATAAGAGATGTAAAAACCCTACGAAATAAATGTTTAAGATTTTTCATCGTCTTTTTTTCGATCAGCGGCTCGCAAGATCACCGCGCTGAGAGCGTAGAACGTCTCCCCTCCCCACTAGATGTACGATAACTTTCTCAATAATAGAGATATGACAAAAAGTCAAAAGACAAGATTTATGTATCTTTGGTAGAGGAACATTTTTTCTTCAGTTTTATTCGTATCTCTAAGCGTTCAGCCGCAAAAGCTTTATAAACAATTAAATTGTTATAAATAAATAGAAGCGACCATGACTCGGCAAAACGAACTTCCGATTCGGATTCAGCACACTCGAAAACATATATTCCATAGATAAAATTCAATGGAGGTCGTAGTGCAGACAGAACCAGGGCTAGCGGATGGACTATAACCAATGTTCGGCCTCCTGGGCTCTATTCTCCATGACCCTGCTGATCTCCCCTATAATCTCTGCCCGCCGCACTCCGTTACGTCATCAGCGAACTGGCTGGTACAGAACCAGCCATATATAGCTACTAAGAAGAATGAAAAGAATTTACCAAAAAAATATTGGTTGAAATGAGAGTTGTCAAGAGAAAAATATGATTTTTCAGGGAACAAGATATGACGAAGTTGGTCCTCTTCATGCGGACGCCTACTTGTTTTTTATTCATAATCGAGGTCTGATAAACATTTTATTTGTAACGCACTTGGATCAGTTCTTCCACGTTGCTTTCCTGAAAGAAAATGAAAGCTAAGAATCAATAAAAGATAATTCATTGAAGAGAATAGATAAGAGATAATAATCCTCACATATTATTTCATATACTTGGAACCGCCTCATCTTCATCGTCACTAGTACAATCCAAATGATACAGGAATGAATCACTCTCACATATCGGGAAGTAAAACCTGGGAAATAGCAAAAAGAACAATAAGATAAGTCCTGGGCATTGAAATGTGAAAATGGAGGGAAAATCAACGGATTTTAATCGAATAATTTTATAAAGAGTGAGTAGATAATAGGGATGTGCAATCTAGTTACTTTCAAGTCCCGAAAGTATTCGTTACCGGACTTGAAAGTATTCGTTCTTTTGTATTCGTTATTCGTTATGTTGTTTCTACCTTATTGATAATCAGAAAAACAATTCAATGATGATAATCAATGGTAAAAAAAATTATAAAAAATGTAATCGTCACTGCAGAGATGAAGTGGGATTTATTGGAAACAAATGTGTACATTTTTCATGGAATATATTCAAAAGCAAGAGGTTTAGAGGAAAATGTTAGAAGACATCTCTTGTTGAGAATGACACAATTTGCCCAGATTTAGAGAACACTGATGAACAATTACCCCAAAGAGGACAGACCTGTGTAGAGGCCCGGATCGGGGGGTTTGACTGACTTCAAAAAAGTTAGTTGGTACCCCACGGGAAAGGCGGCGTCCCGGTCGAATTGTCGGTAAATATGAGTCGGGTGCGTGAGTAACTCGGCAGTA